AGAAAACCAATAGTCTTAAGAGCAATGTCCTTTTAGGTGTGAACTAACCATTTACTGTTCTTTATGTGCGCACACACACACACACACACACACACACACACACACACACACACACACACACACACACACACACACACACACACACACACACACACACACACACACACACACACACACAGAGGTAAACATGAAGACAGGCACACAGAAACACACGCAATCAAGAAATGGTAATGCTGAACAGGAATAGTTGACTACCGTTGTATAGAGTCACTGGACACTGTCGGGGAAAACACACACACACTATCATTAGACCCTCTTTATTTAAGAAAGACACAAATAAGATTCAGTTTAAGTGATGGACATACCTCGTTCTCCACTGGGAATAGAGTGCAACCTGTGCAGTTAAAAACAGCATTGATGAGTAGAGTTATCAGACACCACGGCTTATAGAAATGCAGAAGAGACGGCACTGACCCGCAGGAGCATTGAGGATCAGATCATTAACACTTCTCCAGACGACAGGCTCCAGACTGCCCGCTCCTGACCGCAAGAACTGGTTGAGCCGCGCAACGCTGATTTACCAGAGAAATCAAGAGCTCAAGATGATTGTATTGACTCACTACAGACGTCTGTCTTAAACTGAATATTATTAAACAAACACTTACATCAACTGATCGGCTGAACAGCTGAGTGGACTCTAGAAAAGATTAACAGCAGGATCAGAAATGACAATTGTTCAAGAGAATCAAATCAACTGTTTGACTGCATATTGCTACACAAACAGAAAAGATAACCAGCCAACCTTCTCACATTCATAGACAAAACATGAAGCAATTTTTAGTGATTTGTGTGTACAAAAGATATGTTGTTTACAAATTAAGCAGAAGAAAACACCTCTAGTGTAAGTGTTCACCCACAGCTCCTAACAGTGACGTGTGTTTGGGTTTGGAGTTCAGCAGAAGGAAACGCCAGAGTAAGCTTTACCTTCCCTGAGATCAAGAGCAGGTCTTGAAGAACAGCGGGAAGTCCTCGTTCCTCAGGAGACACCAGCAGATAATCAAATAGCGTAGTGATGACCACACTCTGTGGAAGACCAGGCAGACCTTCAGCCATCAGATCAGCCATCTGACCTGGAGACAGATCTACCAGACTCTCCAGCTGAAGACACACAGCAGAACAAGAACATCACAATCAAAGAGAACTGATGCTGGAGATGGAGACTGAAGATCACATGTGGAGACCCACCGGACTGAACTTTCCGTTGATGGAGAGCAGAACTGAGAGACTGACAAACTTAGAGAACGAGCCAAAGTTCCTCTGTAGCCACTCTGAGCTGCTGTTAGCCGAGGACACACAGCCTGCGTCTGCACACACACACACACACACACACACACACACACACACACACACACACACACACACACACACACACACACACACACACAGTAAAGTCTCCTTCATGTACGTGAGTGGTCTCCTGCCTGAAACCTCCTGAATCTTCTGCCTCACCTGTCGTGTTGCTCCTGAGGAAGGGCAAGATGAAGAACTCCACCATGTTTGTTCCTTGCGTCTCACTGACCAGCGGGAAGTCTGTGAGTCTGAGGAAGGGTGTGAAATAGCACTGATCAAAACATCTGTTCAACACACTCACAGTCCTGAGCTAACGCTGAGGAAAGGCTGTTCTTACATGAGCTGGTAAGTTTGGCAGGTGAGGTTTCTGCTGCTGGCGCACTGCAGTAGGGATGGAGACGCAGACGGTAAAAGCGGCTTGAGGGTTTGACTGAACAGTGTGCTGATGACGGAAGCGTTTCTCCATTGGTCATCACTGACGCTCTGCAGTCTCAGCTCCCACACTACATCCAGCGCATTGGACAGGGCGTCGCTGCTGATTGGCTGAGACTGATGGAGTAATGAGGGGGAGGGGTTACTGTCACATTCCCAGTCAGGGTCCCAGTAAACACTGGAGGAGAGCTGTACAGGGCTCATTTACCGTATTTGCTGCTGCGCTGGAGAAGATGGCGAGGGCTCTATCCAGAAGGTGATCGGCTTTGGTGAAGAGCAGCTTCCAGATCTCCGTGGAGTAACTGCTGTTGCCGGACAGCTGACAGGTCAGGAGGTCAGCCAGATCCTCAGCCGTGAGGCCTGTGAGCTGCAAACACAAGACACCTGATCAGTGGACGTCACCGCTGAGGGAACACCACAGAGACTGCAGACACTGCTGGAGCAACGAGCATTCCCAGAAGGTCATTAGTAGGGGTGTAACGATACACCAAAGGCACGGTTCGGTTTGGTTCGGTTCACGGTTTTGGAGCCACGGTTCAGTTCAGTACAGTTCGGTTTCTGTTTGCTGTGGGGTTAGGGTTGATGTCTTGTTAACAGCAATGCTAAGGAACAATAGATTCACTTAATAACATGAACATCTGAACTTTTTCTTTATTAACTTTTATCATCAAATTTTTAGTACAGTCAGGATACCCGAGTAAACAACTGAAATTAAATAAATACCTCCAATATAGACTAGTCAGAAAAAAAACTATTGTCTTTAGTGCAGCCATCTTAACCAAGCAAACTAAAATTAAATAAATAACTGCAGTGTAGACTAGTGACAGATCTTCTTCAAGAACACCATAATAGCCACATTCTCAGGTGAGAGGCTTGATCTCTGTGCAGACACAGACTCATTTTTGATCATCTTAGGTTTCATTTAGATAGATAGGTTTCCGTTTAAATTAAGGAAAAAATATACATATACTGTGTTTGAAGAGTGTTTTTACATGACATATTCACCAGTAAAATACATTGCAGTTGTAAGAGGCTAAATTATCATATGCATTTGTTTATATGACAAAACATTTCTTTTTGACTCAAGAAGGTCCATACTGACTACAAAGGCAGATACTGATGAGATCAGGGCCTGTTGTGTGGACTTTGGGGGTTTTATGGTGTGGTCACATGTTGATTGGTCAGATTGAATGGCTTTAGTCACATGGTCAAGAAAGATACAAAATATGTGGTAAACTCGAGCTCAGGCTCTTTTCCTGCTCTGCTCCTCTCCTGCTCTGGAGTCCATCTTCTCTGACTCTACTGCAATCAGGCTAACTTCTGGGCCTGCTCTCTCTGTCTCTCTCTCCCTCTTCCTGTGTCTCTCCTTTTACCTCCGGTAACTTAATTTTACATTTAAGCTAGGTGCAATTTATATCACATGTTTTATCATTTCATATTTTATCATTTTATACAGTTGTTTGTAATTAATACAGTTGCAACCATCGAGAATTATTGTCATTAAATCATCTCATTTTCAAGTACTCGTGAATTACTTTTGATTTAACATCAATATTTAATTGCTCCATATTGTAATACAATACAATCACATAATCAACGCTCTCCCACATTTGTAGCTATTAATACTGCCCTTATTTCCGTTTTGTGGTATGAGATTGCAGAAGAATGGTTTGACTAGAAATTTACAGTTTTTTACCATCATGCTGATAATTTTTTAGTCACTCGGCAGAACTACAGTTCGAACCGCTGTGGTTAAAACCGTTCTTACACAGTTGTGTCTGAAACTAATGTTAGGGTTGTAGCCGGCTGTACGTTTGCCTCCTGATCTCTCTCTCTCTCTCTCCCGCTCCCTCCATGCCGGTCATTTATGCAGGTCCGCCTTCACGTCAGCTGATGCCTGTCAATTCTGTAGGTCCGCCATCATGACAGCTGATTGGTCAGGAGACTTGTCTATCGTCATTTGGTGTCGTAGCGCGGGAATATAAAAATATAAAAAGCATGTCAGGAAGAGCGGGAGAGAGAGCGTTTTTTCCTTTGATCTGGTTTTTCGTGTATTTTTCTGACATGATTATAATTTTCATTGTTTTTGCTTAACTGTCGTTTGGGCAAAATTATTTTGCTTTACTTTTGCCCAATTTGAGAAAATGTGTGAGGTTTGTACATTTTTATTTCAGTTGATTTATATGTTATTTTTTGGCTCCGCTCCTTCCCGACAACACTGAGCTACATCTCCTGAAGTTCACTCTTTTCTCAGTGTAAGGTGGATAGGGAAGATGTCGTACGATTTCCATTTTGCAAACACGTAGAAAATGTATTGTTAAAGACATCAGGTGCGAGATGAAGGTCATCTTAATATTTATTTTATTCTACAGTTCAGAATAGGGAAGAATGTGGAGCTGCACTGAAGACCTTTTTTTCTTTTCATCAGTTTTAGCGAGATAAGGGGTTATTCATGAGTTAGAATTGTTTTGTTATATTTCTTTCTTTTGTTTGGCTTCACCATCGTGCCCTTGCTCGAGTTTGACTCATTTTTGTTTAATATTTTTGTTTGAATTTGTTACTTTATTATATTATTGTTATTAGTGTATATATTTCTCTTTTTTGTATATATTTGGGCATTATTCAGGTTTTACTTTTGTACATTAAATCACTTTTGTTGGCAGTTCTGCTGCTTACACCCTCACATTGTGAAATTACCACACTTTTTAAAAGTTTTTCTTAAAGTAAGTTTCATGAAACAGTTAAGACAGACAGGCGTGCGCTTTGTCTACGACACAAATTCCATTCCTGTACTCCACTGGAAAACCAAAATGTTCCCACACAGATGACTTAAATGTGTCTGAGGGATCTGCAATCTCAGTACTATGTGAATCTGCCATCCTGCGTCCAGTAGTAACGAGTGTGATGCTTACTCAAATCACATGACATGACATGCACTAAAATACTAACTTTAGAATATAATATTTAGAACAAAACCTCATCATTACTAAAGACAAGTTAATCAAATGTGATAATAAAGATGTGTTTAAATTGGTTCAATTAGTTAGAGACAAGTGACGTCAACCTCAGGAATGGGCAGCAGGGGGCGTGAGAGTACCGCGGTACGCCACGAGAGTTTCGCAACCATGTATCGTGGTTGGTGTATCGCGATATTTCGGTTTGGGTTTTATATCGTTACACCCCTGGTAATCAGTGTCAACTCAGCTTCTGATTGGGAATTTTCCATCTTCTTACCGAAGAACAAGCGTACTGCTGCAGGTTGACTTGACAGGGGGCGCTGGCGAGAGCCGCAGACAGGAGAGTCTCATTACTGTGGAAAACATCAGAGTTTAGCGTCTCATAGATGCTGCCACTGTGTCAAAGTGCAGAAGAGAGTATTTGCTCATACCTGACGACTCCTGAACAAACGCTGGTAACTGGTGAAATCATAGAGAACATTGGTCAGTGTTTGGGAATTGCATTTCAGATACAACACAACAGCCGTAAACCACAGAGTAAACACGACTGAAGGAAACACTTGAGCGTTAAAGCTGATTCACTTGCTGACAGGTTCAGTTTCTTGTTGACTACAGGGCATCACTCTTACATCCCTCACTCCAGCAATCTCCATATTTACATGACCAGTAGCTGACACATGACTAAGTATCTGGAGTCAGCCTGATCTCACAAGAAAACAAAAGTATTTTACGTTTTGCCAGTTCAGTGGCTAATGAAATTGTACGATTTTAAAAAGGAGGCGTGGCATCTAATCCCACCCCTAAACCCAATTGTCATTGGAGGAAGAGCAAATCGTACTAAATTGTACGAATTAGATTGTATGAATTCATACGAATTAGCCACTAAATCAAAAAGTTATGAATTGCTGTGAGATTGTGTTGGGTAAAACTGCTCCATTAAGCACTGAGCAGTGATCAGAGAGGAATGCCGACTCTTCAGTCTCCTTCAGCACTGTTTGGGCTGTCAGTGCCCATGAACAACATTCAGTGCTGAGCAATTCACTAGTCGGGTCAAGTCCAGTAGTTTGCTTGAATATTGGGCTTGACCTATTAGAAATGGATCAATGTCTATAGTTGACTCAATATCATGTGAAGACTATTGAAAGCTTTTCACTTGATTCAGTTTCTTCAGTAACAGTCAGCATCATAATGAGGCAAGCACTCAAGGTTGCTGACAGCTTCATCATGTAATGTAATGTGTATTTATATAGCGCATTTATTGTGTATGGCCATACACCCAAAGCACTTCACAATCATGAGGGGAGTATCTTTACACCACCACCAGTGTGCAGCATTCACTTGGATGATGCGACGGCAGCCACAGGACAATGGCGCCAGTGCTTCACCACACGCCAGCTATTGGTGGAGTGAAGAGACAGTGATAGAGCCAATTCAGTGGATGGGGATGATTAAGAGGCCATAATGGGTAAGGGCCTATTGAGGGACTTTGGCGAGGACACCGGGGTTACACCCTAGTCTTTACGAGAAGTGCCATGGGATTTTTAATGACCACAGAGTCAGGACCTCGGTTTAACGTCTCATTCGAAAGATGGCGCCCACTGACAGTGTAGTGTCCCCTTCACTTTTACTGGGGCATTAGGACTCACACAGACCACAGGTTGAGCGCCCCCTGCTGGCCTCTCTAACACCACTTCCAACAGCAACCTAGCTTTCCTGTTTGGTCTCCCATCCAGGTACTGACCAGGCTCAGCCCTGCTTAGCTTCAGTGAGTAACCGGTCTTGGGCTGCAGGGTGATCTGGTTGTGGCTGTCATCATTTTAACTATTTAAAGTTTTTGTCTGGATGGGGCTCTAACGTGGCCTATGGATCTTTACAGATAAGGGAGGTCAGCGTAGCACACTCAGTAGGGTGGACATGAGTAACAGTGGCCTCATTGCCTATGGAGACTGGCTAGTGTGCAGAGGCGGCTTCAGCTTTTCCCAACATTCATTCACACACTGACTAGATCAAGGTCAGAAACAAGCTTATTGCATGACTGCACTTACCATTCAGAGGAGTGAACAGACACTAAAAACACATGGAAAAGACAGGACTAATTAAACAACAACCTCCAAAAGCAATGTTTGATTGTATTTGAGAGAAACGAGAGGAACGTGAGTCATGGTGAGAAGCCTCATAAGATAGAGAAAGACTGAGTTAAAAAGGAAAAACTCTTACTGTTGGCAGTGGAGGAAGCGGGCAGCCTAAGAATAAGACACACAGTAAATCAGTAGATTTAGCAGAAATAATGTCAATAGTGTTGATCCTGAAGGCACAAAGCCTGAGATTCACCTCTGGCTCCAGTCTGCTTGAGTTCTTCAGTTGTGTGGTAAACCAGAGTCGCCATGTTTGTAGACAGGGAAGGTAAAGCCTGAAACAGCCTCTCAAATCTGACAAACACAGACAGAATTAGAGGAGATTTCAGCACAAGAGACAGCAGAGACTCAGTGACGTGTCAACAGAGACTCGAGTACACTTACATCAGTGTGTAGGAGCTGCACGGGACAGACACCTGTGAAAACACAAACACACATCAGCGCCATCACTGCAAATCTCCTTCAACAACTCTCCTGTCTGTCCACTGCACATTTACTCTACAGTCTCTTTCCAGACAAACTCATGTACAGGTGAAACTCGCAGACTCCAGACCATACTGAGCAGCCGTGCTGTCAGCTATTCTGATGCTCACTGTTCGCAAAAACCCCTTTCTAGGTGTTCACCCACAGCTCCTAACAGTGGCGTGTGTTTGGGTTTGGAGTTCAGCAGAAGGAAACGCCAGAGTAAGCTTTACCTTCCCTGAGATCAAGAGCAGGTCTTGAAGAACAGCGGGAAGTCCTCGTTCCTCAGGAGACACCAGCAGATAATCAAATAGCGTAGTGATGACCACACTCTGTGGAAGACCAGGCAGACCTTCAGCCATCAGATCAGCCATCTGACCTGGAGACAGATCTACCAGACTCTCCAGCTGAAGACACACAGCAGAACAAGAACATCACAATCAAAGAGAACTGATGCTGGAGATGGAGACTGAAGATCACATGTGGAGACCCACCGGACTGAACTTTCCGTTGATGGAGAGCAGAACTGAGAGACTGACAAACTTAGAGAACGAGCCAAAGTTCCTCTGTAGCCACTCTGAGCTGCTGTTAGCCGAGGACACACAGCCTGCGTCTGCACACACACACACACACACACACACACACACACACACACACACACACACACACACACACACACACACACACACACACACACACACACACACAGTAAAGTCTCCTTCATGTACATGAGTGGTCTCCTGCCTGAAACTTCCTCAATCTTCTGCCTCACCTGTCGTGTTGCTCCTGAGGAAGGGCAAGATGAAGAACTCCACCATGTTTGTTCCTTGCGTCTCACTGACCAGCGGGAAGTCTGTGAGTCTGAGGAAGGGTGTGAAATAGCACTGATCAAAACATCTGTTCAACACACTCACAGTCCTGAGCTAACGCTGAGGAAAGGCTGTTCTTACATGAGCTGGTAAGTTTGGCAGGTGAGGTTTCTGCTGCTGGCGCACTGCAGTAGGGATGGAGACGCAGACGGTAAAAGCGGCTTGAGGGTTTGACTGAACAGTGTGCTGATGACGGAAGCGTTTCTCCATTGGTCATCACTGACGCTCTGCAGTCTCAGCTCCCACACTACATCCAGCGCATTGGACAGGGCGTCGCTGCTGATTGGCTGAGACTGATGGAGTAATGAGGGGGAGGGGTTACTGTCACATTCCCAGTCAGGGTCCCAGTAAACACTGGAGGAGAGCTGTACAGGGCTCATTTACCGTATTTGCTGCTGCGCTGGAGAAGATGGCGAGGGCTCTATCCAGAAGGTGATCGGCTTTGGTGAAGAGCAGCTTCCAGATCTCCGTGGAGTAACTGCTGTTGCCGGACAGCTGACAGGTCAGGAGGTCAGCCAGATCCTCAGCCGTGAGACCTGTGAGCTGCAAACACAAGACACCTGATCAGTGGACGTCACCGCTGAGGGAACACCACAGAGACTGCAGACACTGCTGGAGCAATGAGCATTCCCAGAAGGTCATCAGTGTCAACTCAGCTTCTGATTGGGAATTTTCCATCTTCTTACCGAAGAACAAGCGTACTGCTGCAGGTTGACTTGACAGGGGGCGCTGGTGAGAGCCGCAGACAGGAGAGTCTCATTACTGTGGGAAACATCAGAGTTTAGCGTCTCATAGATGCTGCCACTGTGTCAAAGTGCAGAAGAGAGTATTTGCTCATACCTGACGACTCCTGAACAAACGCTGGTAACTGGTGAAATCATAGAGAACATTGATCAGTGTTTGGGATTTGCATTTCAGATTCAACACAACAGCCGTAAACCACAGAGTAAACACGACTGAAGGAAACACTTGAGCGTTAAAGCTGATTCACTTGCTGACAGGTTCAGTTTCTTGTTGACTACAGGGCATCACTCTTACATCCCTCACTCCAGCAATCTCCAGATTTACATGGGAACAATTCAACAGGTGACAAAGGGTTCGGTGTTTGCAGGGTTAAGGTTGAGGCAAAACAGTTCAGATACAGCCCTGGGCAGTGATCGGGGAGAGATGCTGACTCTTCAGTCTCCTTCAGCACTGTTTGGGCTGTCAGTGCCCATGAACAACATTCAGTGCTGAGCAATTCACTAGTCGGGTCAAGTCCAGTAGTTTGCTTGAATATTGGGCTTGACCTATTAGAAATGGATCAATGTCTATAGTTGACTCAATATCATGTGAAGACTATTGAAAGCTTTTCACTTGATTCAGTTTCTTCAGTAACAGTCAGCATCATAATGAGGCGAGCACTCAAGGTTGCTGACAGCTTCATCATGTAATGTAATGTGTATTTATATAGCGCATTTATTGTGTATGGCCATACACCCAAAGCACTTCACAATCATGAGGGGAGTATCTTTACACCACCACCAGTGTGCAGCATTCACTTGGATGATGCGACGGCAGCCACAGGACAATGGCGCCAGTGCGCTCACCACACACCAGCTATTGGTGGAGTGAAGAGACAGTGATAGAGCCAATTCAGTGGATGGGGATGATTAAGAGGCCATAATGGGTAAGGGCCTATTGAGGGACTTTGGCGAGGACACCGGGGTTACACCCTAGTCTTTACGAGAAGTGCCATGGGATTTTTAATGACCACAGAGTCAGGACCTCGGTTTTACGTCTCATTCGAAAGACGGCGCCCACTGACAGTGTAGTGTCCCCTTCACTTTTACTGGAGCATTAGGACTCACACAGACCACAGGTTGAGCGCCCCCTGCTGGCCTCTCTAACACCACTTCCAACAGCAACCTAGCTTTCCTGTTTGGTCTCCCATCCAGGTACTGACCAGGCTCAGCCCTGCTTAGCTTCAGTGAGTAACCGGTCTTGGGCTGCAGGGTGATCTGGCTGTGGCTGTCATCATTTTAACTATTTAAAGTAATTTGTCTGAATGGGGCTCTAACGTGGCCTATGGATCTTTACAGATAAGGGAGGTCAGCGTAGCACACTCAGTAGGGTGCACATGAGTAACAGTGGCCTCATTGCCTATGGAGACTGGCTAGTGTGCAGAGGCGGCTTCAGCTTTTCCCAACATTCATTCACACACTGACTAGATCAAGGTCAGAAACAAGCTTATTGCATGACTGCACTTACCATTCAGAGGAGTGAACAGACACTAAAAACACATGGAAAAGACAGGACTAATTAAACAACAACCTCCAAAAGCAATGTTTGATTGTATTTGAGAGAAACGAGAGGAACGTGAGTCATGGTGAGAAGCCTCATAAGATAGAGAAAGACTGAGTTAAAAAGGAAAAACTCTTACTGTTGGCAGTGGAGGAAGCGGGCAGCCTAAGAATAAGACACACAGTAAATCAGTAGATTTAGCAGAAATAATGTCAATAGTGTTGATCCTGAAGGCACAAAGCCTGAGATTCACCTCTGGCTCCAGTCTGCTTGAGTTCTTCAGTTGTGTGGTAAACCAGAGTCTCCATGTTTGTAGACAGGGAAGGTAAAGCCTGAAACAGCCTCTCAAATCTGAGAAACACAGACAGAATTAGAGGAGATTTCAGCACAAGAGACAGCAGAGACTCAGTGACGTGTCAACAGAGACTCGAGTACACTTACATCAGTGTGTAGGAGCTGCACGGGACAGACACCTGTGAAAACACAAACACACATCAGCGCCATCACTGCAAATCTCCTTCAACAACTCTCCTGTCTGTCCACTGCACATTTACTCTACAGTCTCTTTCCAGACAAACTCATGTACAGGTGAAACTCGCAGACTCCAGACCATACTGAGCAGCCGTGCTGTCAGCTATTCTGATGCTCACTGTTCGCAAAAACCCCTTTCTAGGTGTTCACCCACAGCTCCTAACAGTGACTTTACCTTCCCTGAGATCAAGAGCAGGTCTTGAAGAACAGCGGGAAGTCCTCGTTCCTCAGGAGACACCAGCAGATAATCAAATAGCGTAGTGATGACCACACTCTGTGGAAGACCAGGCAGACCTTCAGCCATCAGATCAGCCATCTGACCTGGAGACAGATCTACCAGACTCTCCAGCTGAAGACACACAGCAGAACAAGAACATCACAATCAAAGAGAACTGATGCTGGAGATGGAGACTGAAGATCACATGTGGAGACCCACCGGACTGAACTTTCCGTTGATGGAGAGCAGAACTGAGAGACTGACAAACTTAGAGAACGAGCCAAAGTTCCTCTGTAGCCACTCTGAGCTGCTGTTAGCCGAGGACACACAGCCTGCGTCTGCACACACACACACACACACACACACACACAGTAAAGTCTCCTTCATGTACGTGAGTGGTCTCCTGTCTGAAACTTCCTCAATCTTCTGCCTCACCTGTCGTGTTGCTCCTGAGGAAGGGCAAGATGAAGAACTCCACCATGTTTGTTCCTTGCGTCTCACTGACCAGCGGGAAGTCTGTGAGTCTGAGGAAGGGTGTGAAATAGCACTGATCAAAACATCTGTTCAACACACTCACAGTCCTGAGCTAACGCTGAGGAAAGGCTGTTCTTACATGAGCTGGTAAGTTTGGCAGGTGAGGTTTCTGCTGCTGGCGCACTGCAGTAGGGATGGAGACGCAGACGGTAAAAGCGGCTTGAGGGTTTGACTGAACAGTGTGCTGATGACGGAAGCGTTTCTCCATTGGTCATCACTGACGCTCTGCAGTCTCAGCTCCCACACTACATCCAGCGCATTGGACAGGGCGTCGCTGCTGATTGGCTGAGACTGATGGAGTAATGAGGGGGAGGGGTTACTGTCACATTCCCAGTCAGGGTCCCAGTAAACACTGGAGGAGAGCTGTACAGGGCTCATTTACCGTATTTGCTGCTGCGCTGGAGAAGATGGCGAGGGCTCTATCCAGAAGGTGATCGGCTTTGGTGAAGAGCAGCTTCCAGATCTCCGTGGAGTAACTGCTGTTGCCGGACAGCTGACAGGTCAGGAGGTCAGCCAGATCCTCAGCCGTGAGGCCTGTGAGCTGCAAACACAAGACACCTGATCAGTGGACGTCACCGCTGAGGGAACACCACAGAGACTGCAGACACTGCTGGAGCAACGAGCATTCCCAGAAGGTCATCAGTGTCAACTCAGCTTCTGACTGGGAATTTTCCATCTTCTTACCGAAGAACAAGCGTACTGCTGCAGGTTGACTTGACAGGGGGCGCTGGCGAGAGCCGCAGACAGGAGAGTCTCATTACTGTGGGGCAGATGAACTTCTCTCAGGATGACTGATTTACGTGGCAAACATTTTTTACAGTCATTGAAAAGCCAAAAATAAACACTACCTGCTGATTCCGTCACAAATTGAAGTTTCTGAGAAAGTAAAATCAGGGCTCAATGAGTCAGGACATGTTTAAATGCACACTTCTGTATGATGTTGGATAATCAATCAGACTTACCATTGATTGGAGTTGAAATACACTGAAGAAGACATGAACATAGATTATTAAGAGTTTATTAATTACTTGTGCCTTTTGTTTGTGAAATTTTCCACCCATGAGATTAAAACTGTTGTTTCTTACCATAACATGTGGGGGGAAACACTCTGTTAAAAACAGAAGAGTAAAATCTCATTAAAATAGCTTTAAATGTCTGTCAATCTTAGAGACAAAATTGTTCAAAAATTTCAGAAATTGCTTGATCAAAGGTGTAGTTTGCTTTATTTGTGGTTTTGTGTGTATGTGTGTGTGTGTGTGTGTGTGTGTGTACCCTCAGGTGCTATTGTTTTCAGCTGATTCATGTCATCTTTGATGGTTTGCATCATGTTTGTAGGAAACACAGATTCCTGCAGCCTCTGAATGCTGAGATTGACAGAGAAATTAAGATAAATATGGGTGAACTCCTGACTGAAGGAGCTCAGAAACAGTGTTGAAGAGCACTTACATCTGCTGGTATGATGCACACTCCAAACCCATCTGAAATCAAAACAGAATTCAGCAAACAGTTAGCTGTATACCTGCCGCACAGGCAGTGTTTCGCAGAAATGCTGTTACCTCATCAGCGAGCACAATGAGATACTGAAGGATCTCAAGCAGACCACGGTCCTCAGGAGAGATTAGCAGGTAATCAAAAACCGTGGTAATGACGACACTTTTCTCTGGGAGACCTGCAAAAGTCTCAACTATCAGTTCAGCTGTCTGGTTAGGGGAGAGAACCGGCAGCGCATCTATCTGAAATACACAACCAACACATTTCACTTACAAAGAGAAATACAATGCAAGAATCATACGACAATGCCAAGAACAGAGCTCAGTGTTTGTTTTAGAACAGTGGGAATGTAGGAAACCCACAGCGTTGAAGGCTTGGTTCAGCTGGTACATTTCACTCAGTGTGGCAAAATGTGAAAAATCCCCAAGATTCAGAATGATCCAGACACTGCTGTTCTCAGCGGGACAGCCACCTGGAAACAGATCAATATTGTATTTTAATGATGAATGGATAGGTGGATGGATGGTCAGGCAGATGTTGAGAAAGACAGATGTACCTGAAGCATTCTGGTGGCTCAGGAAGGATGAGATGAAATACTGATAAACATTCTGCGCACCTTCATCTGACATCAGAAGTCTGTCGTGACTGAGACCTGAAACACTGAAAGTACACGCCGAAAGTCAGGACGGATTAAAGTGTACAGTAGATGAGAATGTCTGCGGTGGACATACAGAATCTGGAAGGTTTGACAGCTGAACTCTTTATAACTGAGGCATGCGAGATATTCTGGAGTCAGCATGTTGAGCAGAGGCTTCAGCTTGACTTGGAACCATAACTCCACAAACGCCTCGTCCTGCAGGTTGCTGATGGGGAAGGCGTCCGCGGAGATCTGGCCCACGATGTCACTGAAGGGGGAACTCTGGGAACTGAAGTTCTGAAAGAGTGGCAGAAGAGAAAATGAAGAAGAGAAAATGTTTAATATACTCTTCTCCAAGTTTACTTCAGAATAACAAACTCTGAAGACCATCAGAACACAGAACGCATGCGCTAAGAAATGAGATGCTGCAGTCATCTTGATGGTCACATGTCCATCATATGCTTTAACAGATTTTTTTTCTAAATTACAACATTTCTATACTTATTTATTTATTTATTACCTATTTCAATATATAAAACTACACAAAAAAGGAAAAGAGTTTCTTCTTCAAATCTCTAAACGTCAGTAATTATAGCTACATGAAGAGCATTATTCTATCCTCTATTTAGCCCCAGTGATGTCTGGGTCAGAATCTGCATTTGATGCATCCTCAATCAAGTGAACACGTCCAGGTTCTGTCACACGTCCTCTGTTCTTGTAGTATTAGAACGGAAGTTTGTCGTTTGATGCGCATATTGAGAAACAGACTAGGGCAAGCAGTGTGAACTGTGTGTGTGCTCACAGTGGTGGAGAGCTGCTGTAGAAGAGCATCCAGGTTCTGGGACAGATGCAGGAGGACGTTGGAGAGTGTCTCCTCGTTCAGCGTGAGGTTCGAGCCCGATGCACAGTGCAGGACTGTGGCCACATGCTCCACCAGGTCCGTCAGCTAGACAGATGTGTAAACACGTATGATATGAGGACATGATGTCATTCAGATGGAGAAGATGATGGGAATCACGGATACGGTGTCTTACCCCACATGTTCTGTTGTCAATAAATACACTGCAAATGTCTTGAGTTTCATTCTGGGCTCCAGACCCCGTCCCTGTCTCAATGTAGCTGCCGAACAAAACGAAGAGGTTTAAAGTGAATCAGTGTGGTTGAGTTCCTCCGCCAGTGGACAACTGTGGGAATACTAGCATGAAAAACTCACAACAGGTTATGGAAGACAGTGGTGAGGTTAGGATAGATTTCTATCTGCTCTTGAGGAAGGAATCGCCGCAGTATTGGAGAAACCACATGTGTGTACCAGTCATGAACGTTCATGGGGTCAAAAGCGACTGGATCCTGCTGCTGCTGCTGGGTGTAGCTCTGCTTGAATGGGGCGGCCATCTCTGCTAGCGTCAGGTTCATTATGGCCTGCACCAGCGTGGCGCTCCGCATACTGCTCAAGTTTGGCTTTAGGAGGAGAGAAGACGGCAGAGTTAAAGAGATGGAGTTCAGGTCTGTAAAGCCCTGCTGATGGCATGTGTTTGCTTACCTGCCGTGTCAAGGACACAAACTGCTTAACGAAACTCCCAACAGGTCTAAATGCTGTCATGAAGTCGTTCACTGCCTGGAGACACACGTCAAGACCGGATTAAACAGAAGGATCAGCAAGGTGCACCAGGGCACTTTTACTGCAGGCTTTAGCTTAAACCTGAACCTGCCTCACCAGCCTTCAGCTATACAGTAATCCTGAAGACTTTGGTTTAGATGCAGATTTGTTGCATGTCAAGATTTTGCCAACTATGATGCGATCCTGGATTAACATCTATGTTGATCCTGAAACTCAATTTCTGTTAGAAATCCATACCTGTTCCCTACCTCTAAACCCAACCATAACTGTAGATTATTCCCACAATCAGAGGGCAATAATAGTTGAACAACAATCAAGTAGAAGTGCAAAAACTGTAAGCCTAAACTGAACTTAAACACTAAACGCATCCCTTAATTCTAGCTTAGTTCTAGAATGTTGTTCCAGGATCAGTAGAGACGTTAATCCAGGATCATATCCTACTTAATAAAAGGTTGGTGTAGGTTTGTATATTTAGCATTGGAGTCAAACTTTGCAGGAAGTTTATCTCAAGAACCAGCCCAGCTAACAAGGAACATTCTCAGAACATTCAGTAATATTCCTTATGAATGTTACCTTAAAGAATAATGTAATAATGTAATTATGTATTCAAATAATGTACTGAAACAACTGAAAACTGAAATAATATTCTGGGAACATTAAAACAACATGAGACTGAAGAAAAGTTCAAAATAATGTTCTTTTACCCAAACATGAACATATAAAAACTGGACATTTTGAACATTGAAGAAGATTTTAACAATTGCATCTTCATAGCTTGATGAGAATGATATGGGAATGCTTTTATAATCTAAAATGTTCGCTGTGAGAGTTGCTCACATCTGATGCTCATGTTTGACTTCTACTTGCCTGTCCGAGGGGGTCTTGTGCTGAGGAGGGGCTCATGTAAAGTGTTGTGCCGTTATTTGAAGGCCATGGATTCCCGGAGGGCATCACAGAAGACATCAAGCTCTGAAACACCAGGCCGAGGGAACTGTTGGTCAAACCCATCACCTCTGGATAAAGGAGAAGCTCTGCCTTCTGTTCTGGACTCAACAGGTGCAAAACTTCCAGCTGCCGAAACACAGAAGAACTTCAGAACATCTCCAGACATCAGTACACTTCCGTGAGGAAGGAATGTAGGTAAAGCAGTGTCGCAAAACAATACAAGGCCAGACCTGGACTCTAAATCTTTAAGTCTTAATATCTGGAAAATACAGTTCTTACTTGAGCCAGAGTTTGGGCTTTTAGTACTGGAGAACTACACAACTGTCTGGGTTATACTGAAGCTGTACGTCCATCATAGCCGGCAGCTTGCTCTCTGCAACTCTCACATGATCGCCCACTGAAGCTAAGCAGGGCTGCACCCGGTCAGTAGCTGGATGGGAGACCACATGGGGAAGCTATGTTGCTGTCGGAAGCAGTGTTAGTGAGGCCAGCAGGGGGCGCCCAACCTAAGGTTGGTGTGGGTCCTAATGCCCCAGTATAGTGACGGGGACTTTATACTGCTCAGTGAGCGCCGTCTTTTGGATAAGAAGTTAAACCGAGGTCCTGACTCGAAAAGAGTAGGGGTTTAACCCCGGCATCCTGGCCAAGTCTGCCCACTGGCCTCTGTCCGTCATGGCCTCCTCACCCTCCCCATATCAGACTTGGCTTCATCACTCTGTCTCCTCTCCACCAATCAGCTGCTGTGTGGTGTGCGGTGGATGCTGCATACTGGTGGTGGATGAGGAGATTCCCCCAATGTGTAAAGCGCTTTGAGCGCCCAGAAAAGTGCTATATAAATGTAAGGAATTATTATTATTATTATCCTGCACTACAATAAATGATAGAAATGTGGTACTAGTGCAGAGTTTAGTATTTGGACTGCAGCGGTAGAGTTACTTTCCGACCCTGACCTTGCATTTATAATCTACACCAGGGGTGACCAACCCTGTTCCTGGAGATCGACCTTCCTGCAGATTTCAGTTGCAACCCATATCAAACACACCTGCCTGTAATTATCAAGTGCTGTTCAGGTCCTAATTAATTGGTTCAGGTGTGTTTGATCAGGGTTGGAGCTGAACTTTGCAGGAAGGTCGATCTCCAGGAGCATGGTTGAGCACCACTGATCTACACAGACGCAGCTCTACAGTTGTGCAACACAGACTAATTACACATTTTTCTGTGAAAGTTCAAAAATGTACTTTTGACTGCAGGTTCCAGATAAAATGAATGCTCCCGTGTAGCATAGCACTCACGACTCAGTGCATGTTTCTCTTACATGTGCAATTGAAAACACTCTTGTTTGGGTTTATGGAAAGGTTTGGTCAGTGGTTCACTAGGTGATCCGTACAAAAAGCATCGCCTTCTTTAAATGTAAATGTAAAAGAAGGATGTGCAACAAAACATACACCATGTAAAGTCCTTCAGATTTGCAGTAATGCAGACAGCGCCCTCTAGTGGATTTGTCAATGCGCTACAAATTATACCCAGAGCAACATGTCTATGTTTTGCAGAAGTGCAGGCTGAAGCATGTGTTTCCCATGAGCCTGGCCTTAATGTGTGTTGTCAAACTCCACACTGGATTAAAAACACGTCCTCATACCCCGCTGAAGAGCAGGTTGATGGATGAGAAGTCTTTCACTTGAGCCATCACAGAGAAGGAGCCAAAGTTCTTCATGAGCCAGTCTTCAGTGCTGGCTTCTGGATCAACACAACCTACAAACAACACACAATCACACATCACAAAGCTGTCGCGGACATTTGGAGAACTCACAGCACGATCTGCCTGAGCTGTCACCTGAGGACGTGTTCCTGGAGAGGAACGGGTACATGAAGAAAGAATAGATCCACTTCTGCCTCACCGGATCCAGACTGGAGAAATGCTGACTTAACTCCTGAACTCTGCACACACGATCAGACACACAATCAAACACAGCCGTGGAGCTCTCCGGATCTCTTGCACGTGTGTGTGTCGGCATACACAGTCTGGTAGGTGCTGCAGCTGAAGTTTCTGTTGCTGAGGCACGTGAGGAGGTTTCTGGAGATGGAGGACAGCAGAGGCGTCAGCTTGATGTCCAGCCACGCCCTGATGCCCAGATCCTCCTCCACACTGAAGCCTCCAGAGACATCCAGCACTGGCACACCGGACACACTGGATCTCTGCGGGACCGACAGAACCAGAGGAATCAGTGTGTGTGGAATCAGTGTGTGTGTGTGTGTGAGATCAGTGAGTGCAGAATCAGTGTGTGTGCAGCGCACCATGAATGAGTAGATGTCCAGAGCAGCACTGATCAGCTCCTTCAGATTCTGCATGTGTTCTGCTGTGGGTTCTGGAGGAACGCCGGCACACGACAGGAAGCTCTGTGTGGGTCCGTCCATCTGAGACTACACACACACACACACACACACACACACACACACACACACACACACACACACACACACAGAACACATACACACACACACACACACACACATTTAGAGTGTATCCTTTAAGATAAGTAAAAGGTCTCCAGTCCTGCAGACAACACACCTGCAGACGCTTCTGTGTTGTGTAGTATATTGTGTTGCTGTACTAAGATGAAGGAAAGCCTTCATGATATTTCAGATATGTTCAACACATCCGGCAGGCGGAATAGTGATGGTAGAATGATGATGGGTAATTGAGGGAATACATATGTGCGTTGAGGGTGTCCATGAGTGCCCTATGAAGGGCTGAATGTCTCTGTGTGATTAGTATAAGGGTCTGGTTTCACAGTAGTGTCGTGTATTCTCAGATTTCTCTTCAGTTGATGCTGGTTTTTCTGCTGCAGAGTATAAAGGTCCCGCGTGTCCTCGCACCCAGCGGACGCTCTGCAAAGCTTTTGTTGTCGTGAATATCTGCGTGTCTGTTATGGTTTGCGTTCATAAGGGAAAGGTGTTATCTTTGGGGATTGTGTTTGCAGGAGAGGCCGGTGCAGTGTGAGTCTCTGAGCTCTTCATCATCATCATCGAGTCAGCTGTTCTTCTGTAATAGCTCATTTCCACTGGCAGTGCAGTACGCTGTGCTTCATATCAGATTCCACTATCAAAAGCATCAAAGTATTGAACTGTATCGCAACACTTTTTTGGGATCAGTTCATTCCTAGCACAACAGTGCTGAGCTCGACTCAGACTGCGTCTCAAATCACATCCTTCCATAATATACTGTATAGTGTTGTAAAAACAGTGTGTGAGAAGTACCTGGCTGATCTACTACTCCACTTTTTTTTAAAACACAGCTGCTCATATATTGTTGTATCCATGTTGAGCTCTGATAAACAGATCAACCTAGACAATTCCATGTCATTATATTCAAATATTATTATTATTATTGTCATTTTACAGACGTCCCATTAAAGCATCTACAAACTCGTCAATCTGATTCCAGGTAAAAGGTAAACACTGTGGAAGCTGTTCAGCAATTCTCCACTGGGGGCGATCTGAGTGAGCGCGCGCCACTGATGTGTGTTTGATGGTGTTACACAGATCGCCCCCCGGTGGACAAACACTGAGTTTGATGATGTAACAAAGCCTCGGTCACTGAAGTCATGTGACCTCGCTAACTCCGAACCACTGATTCAGAACAAAGGTTTGGTAAAGGGTTCATGAAGCAGCGTCACTACTGTACTGAGCCTCTCAGTGGACACCAGCGCTCGCTCTCGGGGTTATAGTTGAACGTTCAACATGTCTGAACTGGTGTTTATCATGTGATGGTGATGATACATGTTTACCTGACAAATACACACATATTTAGCTTTCTTGACTTTGTTGCAGAGTGGATCAGACTGGGGGATCAGGAGTAATGGAGCGATCAGCAGGTGATTTCTGGACATTATTGATCCAGCATGACTCTCAGTGACAGACGTCACTATACTGGACACGACACATCAGTCTGAACTGAACACCAGTCTGAATCTCAGTCAGATCAGCTCAAAATGCACAGCGGCTCCTCAACGGACATTACCTGAAGCACACTGTGTCCACATCATCAGATATCTGAGCTGTTCATAATCAATACATGTGATCAGCTCTTACAAACACACCTGAAGTGAATGAGCACAGAAACACTGGAGACACAGTAAACCCACACTACTGAGGGAACTCTGATGAAGAAACTGAAGACGAGTGATTAATCTGCGCCCACGCTGCTGGATTCCAGCGACCAGCTGACGACTGCACCCTCAACTGACACACACACACACACACACACACACACACAGCAGACACACACACACACAGCAGACACATTCATCAGACACACTCAACAGACACACACTCAACCGACAGTCACTGACAAAACACACTCAATCAACATATACTCAACCAACACACACTTAACTAACGTACACTCAACCAACACATACTTACAAAACACACACTTAATCAA